GAACAAAGTGAAAGTAAGATGATTGTGAATGGTAAAGTGAAGAGGAAACAATGTACAAGAATTGAGAGAAATCAGAATATTTCAACCAGGATTGTCAGCATAGCATCTTGATTCAGAATCCTTCTAATGCATGATCGAACTGATTTCTTATATTCATATTTTTGATTGGATGGGTTGATTCATTATTACAGTAGACTGAAGTTCCAACTAAATTTAATTTTAAATTGGGGTTACTAAATTCCTGTCTAGTGTTATTAATATCAGTTCAGAAACTCCATAAACCCGTGTATAATACACACAATCAGAACTCTTTTGAACTGACTTAATTTTTAGTTTTCTAGAACTAAAATAAGAACTACATTGTTCACATGTGTGAATTTATACTATTACAGTTTATTATTGCCTGAAAGTGATTCTCCTCGTAGTGTAATATCCTGCTAGCTTGAATTAATTTAGCTGGCATCACTGGTAAGCTGATACATGAATAAAATTAAGTTTTTCAGTAATATCGTCAATATAATCAAAACTTGTTTTGGCAATATGTGTTTCAGGCTGCAAAAATTGACTGGATGCATTACTATTTAGAAGCTTATTAAATTTCTCCATTTACCCAGAATATAGTAGAAATCTATGAGCGGATCACCATTTCTATCTTCTACCAAGTGCATTTGAGGTTGGTATTCCTTCTTAAATTCGTGTATGCCTTTATGAAAATTTGATGCCCCTGTTTTAATTGTTTCATTTTTACTGATTTTACATTTTACATGTGCTCATTATTTCTTAAAGGCTAGCAAATTTTGCAATCCTGACAGCTGTATCTGTCTCCATTCATTTGGTGAGAAATCTAAAACCACTATAGTCTAGTCTCCTTTGTGTCATACCAATTTAGCCAGCAACAGATGATCTTCCAGTTCAGGGTCTGAGTATATGAATGTATGAATGGATGTGTGAGGGGTAGGCCTTCTCGGCCCTTCCACCACGACCTACAGTGGTCTATTGTGCTTTGGTCTGAGTATAAGGTTATCAACCCTTCACCGGCATGAAGTTCTATGCTGATAAATTAAAGAACAACTTGAACTGAATCTTCAACAAAAACATAACATGGCTACAAATCATGCTATTTCACACAATATAAGGAAAATAGATTATCAGTAAATATTACTTATTTCAGAATAACTAAATGATGTTCACAGTATTCTAATTACAGCAATACCTCGCATAGTCCGGGTAATCTGTTCTGCCAATATCCTGGACTGTTTGAAACCAGACTAATCGAGGAACTAAATACATGAATGTATGAATGTATAAGGGGTGGGCCTTCTTGGCCTTTGCATTGTGACCACAGTGATCTACTGTGCCTACAAACTAAATACAGACAAAAAATGATAATTGGTTAAAAAAAATCTGATTTTAAATAAATAAAACGCGATTAATAAATTCAATGTCTTTATTAGAAATAATTTTAAAAAATTTGTGTTTTTTGCAGTTCATGTTTTATTCTCTAAAAATTGCAATATTGATGCCTGCATATTATCTTCTTTGGCCTTTTCTCTTCATGCATTTCTTTGTAGCAACGAATTGCATTGTCTATCATTTGGCGAATTGTAAGGCTACTTCCAATATTGGGAACACCTTCCATAATATGCTCTGACAAAGTTTCGACCATTCCAATAATTTTTTATAGTTGTTCAGCTGTTAATTCTTGTGCAGGCACTTCAACACAGTCATCATTGTCTAAGTTGTCTTCCCGTTCTTTATAAGCCCATTGTTCATCTATGTTAATAAGTGTTTCATTATTTAGTTCATTAGTGTTCGATTTGATGCATTCAATTATGTTGACAGAATCTAACAAATTGAAACCAAGTTGCTGTCCAGTTTCCACTATGTTATTAGTGACTTCAGCAAAATGAGTTTCAAAACCAATGAAATCATTTGCACAGTGTGGTATGATATGTTTCCATACTGTCCTCATATTGCTTGCCATTAATTCATGCCATGTTTCACCTGTATTTTCGATAATGTTTCCGATGTTGTAGCTCATCCAAAATTCCGTTAAAGTAGTGCTCCCCCCACCTCCTCCAGCGATAGCTGTCAGAGCTCAAGAATGAACGACTTGAGCATAGGTACATACATATACAATGGGGAACCCCAGAAAAATTGAAATATGTATCATATCGCATAACTTTAAAACCACATAAAAATAAACTGCACAAAAAGAGACTTTACTGTATAAAGGGGAAAAACCCGATCATTTATGTATTGAAAATAATTTTGTGTACTAATTTTTTAGAATTTATTTTTATTTTGCTCAATTAAAATTTTGTTTGTTTTGAAATTTTCAAACCGGACTATAGTGAATCCGGATTGATCGAAGCCGGACAATGCGAGGTATTGCTGTACTGTATCTTCAGTATGAACAATGAGTAAAAATTAGGACTTTGTAATATTTTAGTTGTTTTTTATATGACTAGATTTACTGTGCAAAATGGTTACAATAATTTGTGTTTCATTTGTATATACATGTATGCTGCATCAGTAATTTTATAAATAGATTCTAGATATCCAAAATATCTTCAGGACATGCTGAAACAGAATTTAGATTTTTATATCTTACAATTTTTTTGAATAGCTGCAAATTTCAGTAATTCTAATTATAAAACAAAGTCTCAAATGTAGTGTAATTGAATCATACATTTTGATTACCATGCAAAATGTGTGATTATATACATTTTCCTATGAAAATATCTACATAATTGCTTTGTGTATAGGTATAACATTTTAACAACTCTACACTGCCTACTAAAAGAGCAAGCAAAAATAGCATAAATAGTAAGATATAAGTTGATCACATAAGATTAAGTTAATGCCTCTATTCTTCACCTGCCTTTTCCTTCCATATAATCTCTGTATGATACAGTCTCCTTGCAGCAGATCAAAACAGAGGAGTGTAACCAATGAAGAAAAATGCTTGCTGGCATGAAATGGCATTAGGAGCAATTATACCGCTTCGGATAAAGAAGTTTTCTGACTTAAAAGTCAGTACTAAGACTGCTGTATTACTACCTCTAATTACATATAATAAAAAAAATCATAAAATAACTTTCAACTATAAACAATCTTTATATCATTGAGAGTTACTCTTTTTATTTCCAGTTAATCACAGAATTACTTGAAAGGTAACCATACTAGGAAGAAACTAAACAAACTTAACCCTTTGACGTGGTCATTTAAATTCCGTGGCCGCGGCTCCTGCGGTAATATATTCAGCCGGCCATTTAAATTTTGCTCGAAAATTATTTATTCATCATTGTTCTTAAATTCTATGAGATAGGAACATGAAACTTTCACTAAAATGATCTTAANTCTCTCTATGAGGTTATTAAAATACATATGTAATGAAATATTCATGTATATTGTGTTTAAAATGTGATTCATACATTCCTACATCAGGAACCTTGAGATGAAAATGTTTAACAGAGGGGAATGAATTAATATGTTTGCATTTTATCAGAGGTAAAAATGTAAGAAGAATGATATGTGGTCTTCTAACACAAGAAACCAAGACTGTGACCACTTACATATTTTGTTGTAAAAACTATAAAAGCCTGTTCACTCTCTATTTATTTCAGATACAGGATGCTTTTCTGACATGCTGCAGGGAGAACCTAACAGTGCTGCTTCATCATGACACTATACGAAGTACACCACGTAGAATGTCACAATGGCTAGAAGGAAGAAAGCAAGTGTGTATCCAATCATGATACGAGCTACTTTCTGCTGTTCAGAATGAGTCAGTTGTTCCTTCCTTCTCTTGTGCTTCTTGAGCATGGGTGTCCGGCTTCCATTTGCAGTATCTTGCTGCATGAGAAGAAGTGGTTCTAATAGGAGTAAACTTGGTGCCTCAGGTAATGGATAAGGCTCAATTGATGAAAATGATGACTCTTGAATATCTGTAGAATTGGAACTTGCACCGTGACCATGTTTCAGGGTATGACCCCCTAGTACAGTCAAGGTGTTCTGATTCATGAAACTGCTTGAGGGTTCATACCCATTAGTTTCAAGGAGGTCACAACTCTTCACAGTTTCACAGCCATGTGTTTCTGACAGAATTTTATAATTTGAGATATCTGAAATTTTGATACCCCCTTTTGGTTTGGTCTTTGATGAATAGAAAGATGAACTATATGAACTAGAAGATTTAGATACTGAAGCTTTTTTTGGATCAGATGGATTTCTATGGGCTAACTCCTGATGGACTCTCCTGTAGTCATTCAGTGCTTCAGATTCATAGTCTATCATACTGGTAGACCCCAGTAACAAAGGCAGAAGTGGGTTAGTCTCATCTTCATCTCTTACTAACACAGAAACATCATTTTTAAGAAATGATTCCACATTTGATGTAGGCCTTTCAATAAATGAGTATGTTCTTTTCATTTCTTGTAAAGCCAAGTTCTCAGTTAAGGAAACCTTGGACAATACGTTTCTTGTGTCTCTATGAACAATATTTGTTACCTGAATTTCAACTGCTGAGAGTTCATAATCAAGGCTTACATTTTTTTTCCAACCCAAGACAAGATCCTTCCCATCAATTTTGTCATTTGGCATCACACATTTTATAATTGGCAGTAATTTATGCCACTGCTGCACATCTCCAAGACTTTGAAAGGTTATCTGATTTTGATTTTCAGGTATTAAAATCCCAGGATAGACCCCATACTTTAGCCTTAGTGAATTAAATATAGGCATATAAGATGTTCGATGCACATACTTCTTGTGTTGTGAAACTGATAGCGTAATTTTACTTCCTACAGGCAAAGTAAAAACTATGCCAATTAAACACTGACCAAACTTGAAATACTGGTCACTATAGATAACATCTTGACCAGATATTGAAGTCATTAACATGCCAGTAGTTGATGAGGCCTTGGGCAATGCGAGGGCATTTGTAAATGTCGCGTGTGAAGTTACCCCCTTGATGGTATAAATTTTTTTACTTTGATTTGCACACGCGAGGACAAGTCAGTTATTAGTGGAGGTGAGAGTGATGGGCTGCTGTTCCTCTAAGCAGTGTAGATCATGCAAAACCTTGAAAAATAAAGAAATAAAAATTAATTGTAACCAGCTATGACTGAACAAATTAGATGGAAAAAGGACGTGTTTCCCTTTTCAAATTGATAACAGATGATGGCGCTAAATATTTTGTATACAAATGAACACTTGCAATGAGAAGTGCATACTCAAAGAATTAGAGGATTATGAATGACACTTATCTCTAGTCTTCCCTTAGTTTTGCTGTTGTTGAGAAAATTGACTGTGTGAAGGACATAACAGGTGCTTTTTATCATCAGAATCATTATACTTTTGAGTGCTTCCCTTTTCTACCTTATCCAGTGTTATAATCATACCGATGTAACAAGAAATTAAATATTATCTTTCACAGCTATTGAATTTTATAGGATCAGAGATATTAGGCAGTTGGAAGTACATACAGCTGAGCCTAGTCTGTTTAGAGCTTGAAACTGCTATTGCAAAGTTGAAAAGTATGAATTGCCAGGTATTGATTATATTCCAGTAGAACTGATTGAAGCAGGAAGCGAAACTTTATATTCTGAGAGCCACCAACTTAACAGCTCTATTTGGAATAGAGAAGATTCTTCTGAGCAGTAGAAGCAGTCCATTATTGTGAAAACTTAACAAGAAAGGCAATAAAACTGACTGTAGAAGTATATCACTGTTATCAACTTCATACACAATTCTATCCAATGTCCTTCTCTCAAGATTACATCCATAGGTAGATGAAATAATTGGGGACCATCAGTGTGGGTTTTGACAGAACAGATCTACTACAGTTCAGCTTTAATGCGAACGCCAGAGACTGGAGAAAATGTAGCGGTACAATGAGATAGTACATGAGCTACTCATAGGCTTCAAGAAAGCCTATGATTCAGTCAGGAGGGAAATATTGTAAAATATTCTCACAGTTTTTGTGTTACCACAAAACTAGTTGGGCTTATTAAAATTGTGCTTAAATAAAACACATAGTAAAGTCTGTGTAGGTAAATATTTGTCTGATATATTCTCTGTTCAAAATGGACCAAAGAAAGTGGATGCTTCAGAATATGCCATAGGAAGGGCCAAGAAAACCAGACAGGACTGGACTGAACTGAACAGTGCACATCAGCTTTTGGTCGGTGAAGATATTGTAACAGACTGGGCTGTTTATAGGAAACGAATTGGTAAACACAGACCAACTAATGTGCATGCAACAATAGGACAAATGGTATTGCTCATTGCAAGGCAACTGGTTGGTAAACACTTCTGTGCAGGCAGAATGACGTCACACTCCAACAGTACTTAGATCTCACATGACATGTTTTCTATGCAATGTGCTCCGCACAACAGCAGAGACCATGTTTTCCATGGGGTTTATGCAGAGGAGTTATCTTGAAGACTGTCGGCGCTACAACACAGTTCTCAGCAGGATAAAGCTATGAAAAGTTTGTGGACTTGTGCGGATATAAAGTGTGATTTGAAGATTTTATTTATGTGTAATATTTGGAGTGATCTGAAGTGCTAGTTCCTGTGTTTTAATTGCATTACCATAAGAGAATTAGTGTGTGTGTAACAGTGAATTATAAAGTGTAAATCAGTGATATCACAGTACTGACTGTGATTGAGAGAGATTGTAACCAAGGTACTAATAAACCCAATCATCTGAACTAGAACCTGTCATTTTCATCATGCGTACCACCCTACACGTGACAATATGAATATATTGGGAGATAATATAAGTACCATAATGAAACACATAGACTCTTTAATCAATGCTAATAAGGACTTTGGCCTAGATGTACACACAGAGAAAAATAAGAATATGTTGTCTCATCACCAGAGTACAGAGCAAAATCATAACATAAAGATAGATAACAGAGTATCTGAAAATGTTGCAAAGTTCAGATATTTCGGAATGACAGTAACAAATCAAAATTTGACTCATGAGGAAAGCAAGAGCATATTAAACTGGGGTAATGCTTGCTATTAGTCAGCTCAGAACCTTTTGTCTTCTCATCTGCTGTCTAAAAACATAAGCATTAAAATATACAGAACTATAATTTTGCCTGTGGTTTTGTGTGGGTGTGAAACTTAGTCCCTAACATTAAGGGAAGAACACAGACTGAAGATATTTGAGAAAAGGGTATTCAGGAGAATATATTGAAGAAGAAGAAAGAAATAATGGGACGCTGGAGAAAACCACATAACAAGGATTTTCATAAATTGTACTCTTCACCAAATATAATTAAAATGATCAAGAGAAGGAGTATGAAATGGGCAGGGCACACAGCATGTATGGGGACAAGAGGAATACATACATGGGTTTTGTGGGAAAGCCAGAGGGAAAGAGACCATTAGGAAAACCCAGATAGAAGTCAGAGGATAATGATAAAATGGATCTTACAGAAACAGGATGGGGTGGTAAGAACTGGATTACTCTGGCTCAGGATATGGAACTGTGGCAGGCTCCTGTGAACGTGGTAACGAACCATCGAGTTACATAAACTGTTGGAAAATTCTTGAGTAGCTGAGCAACTGGTGGATTATCAAGAAGGACTCAGCTCCATGGAGTTAGATTTTAGTTAGTTAGCCAAAAACCCAACACAAACAATGTATTTACACAATATTTAATAAATAACTTTCATTAAATATAAGAAATTTTTTAATTTTCCAGAACTCATAATTTAATTTAGTGCGACTGTGGTTGAAATAGCAATCTATATTCATGATCTCTCATTGCTGCAAATCATTCCTGTGTAACTGTTGCATTTATTTCATCATTAATCATTTTAGAAATTAATTTGATATTGCCGATTGTATAAGTGTATGGATCCACATGGGTACAGTTTCCTTTAACTGATGATGAAAAGAATTCCCCCACAGACTCTTTAATAGGGATTTCTTTTGTGTGTACATGCATGTTTATATGACGTGTAATTATCAGACTGCACCTGGTAGCCCAAGTGAAAGGGAAGACTATGACTTATTTTTATAAAAATTATTCCAGAGTAGCTCAGTAGTAGTCTAAAAGACAAATGTAATTTAAATCTGGAATGTGAGATTGCATATACATGAAAATTATTCAGCAACTTACTTCCAAAAGACAACCCATGCTCCAAGCCTGAGTACGACAACTGTCCCTACAGTAGGCACCATCTCTATTGGTCAACTCTGGTAATCCTCTCCATGATGAGCACTGTAACTCCACAAAGTGCCGAGCAAGAAGAGAGCGTGTGTTCGCTGCTGTACGTCTTAGCTCAGCTTCTCCACCTACCTCATGAGCAAAGTGCAGTCTTGCCCGTAGAAAGAAACCAACTGGCCATAACCATTCCTTGAAATCAAAGAACTGAGTTTCAAGTGTCAATTTCCACGATTTTCATATATCAATATTCTGTGTGATTTGCAAAATACTTCCTCGCTGTAGTCTCCCTTAATTCATCCAGATCTGCAGTTACACACTTCTGATGTAAAGTTTATTGTATTTAGTTCTTTTGGTTGCAAATTTCATACTTTGTGCAAAGTTCAGTGTTTGTTCTTATAGTCTGTCATTGTCAGTAGACACTTCTAACAATGTGGTACTGAAACAATACAGGCACATAAAAAATATATCTCCAAGAAATAATGATATTTGAAGTTACTGGCTGTGCAGCCTGATTGTGGTTGTGGGGGGGGGATGTTCTAGACCTCCCCCTCTCCCAGCCCTTCTATCAATGCAAAGTGCTTAGTCCACTCATTAATATCTGGGATAATTTTAGAAAAATTATATATATAAAACAGTGGCTGCTAGCCTGAAGACAGCCAGTTGAGTCTGCACTTAGAAGCAGTATGTGATGTTCATGTGTGGTGAAACAGAGCAATAAAAGGCAATGAATGAATTCCACGTTGGAAGCGACAAGATATGTGCAAGAAGCAAGCGCTAGAGTGTTCAGTGACATAATAGTAAACTAAGATTAACTATCATCAGGACAGTACTTGTGGCTATAGACAAACTGTAAATTACTGTTCATAAACACCACAAATAGTACATTATGTTAAAATATGATCACAGCAAATTTTCTTGTGGGCAAAATTGCCAGCGTGCAGAGGTGGTCTGACGAACTTCTGGAGGGATCTGAATGTGTTATGGTATTATTTCACCACTTGTCTTAAAGAAGTGAGGAACATGTGAATATAGACATAGAATGCAGGGAAAAGGAGTAAACATTAACACACAAAAAAGAACTGAAAATGTGGTTCTGGAAAATAAGCCAGTCCCTAATAGAAAGGAGGCAGAAGTGTCTCTGTGTTACTGAGGGATGATGAAAGTAACTAAATGGATTGAGAAAGACTTACTGGCAGAGTGTGTCAGTACAGACACTGACATTACATACTGGGGCAGACTGCCTTGCATGAAAATGGACAAGATGACAGTTTTGCAGCAGGTCCTCTGAAATAAGTTTTAAAGTATGGCTTTGCTGCAAGATATGAAATTCTTATTGTAGGTAAGAGGACTGTAGACTGTATAATGGTAAATTTGCTACTGTGCATAAACACTCATTCTGAAGATATATCCTGGGCACAGAAGTGGAGCACCAGTATTCTAGACCTTGGCACTAAATGGGAGTGAATGGTCAGCTTCATAACTGCTTTACCTCTGGCAGAAGAGCCCAGGTTCTCAATGAATAAAAGGCTGGGTGACATGCCTCAGAGCCTGTATACACCAATCACTCAGCCCACAGTTAAGTGCTTTATGATTCCCTCAATGAAGGATCTGTTATTACTGTTTACACATAACGCAAGCCACTTACAGGTCCTTGATGGTAATTGAAGCCATGAGCAAGTTTCCCATCCTCTGAGTCATTGGCATTATCATAATCTCCATTATAGCTCCAGTCTCCAGGGTCTAAGGTCTTCATACCTAGTGGACCTAGTAATAACTCTTCTGCTTTCTTCAAAGCTGTCCAAGCATGAAGTGGATCAAACATTTCTGGTGCCTGCGACAAAAGAGCAGATTATCAGGAGCAAATTAAGAAAGAAAATAAAGCAAATCTTGTTTTGTAAATACAGATTTCAGTTTCACTATAATTAATTTGAAATATCTGGCATTTAATCTGCTCATCACTGTTGCAGCAGTCTATTATATACAGCACAAGTCATAGGACCACCACTACCACCATAATCATCATCATCATCATCATCATTATCAAAGTTTTTATTTGATTATGTTGCTACCGAACATTGCAACTAAGTGGGTAACACCCTGCTCTGTGTTTGAGAAGTTCCAGACTCAGATCTCAGCTTGGAGACCAGCTATTCCGATAGAGGTTCTTCACTCTTTTCTTTAATCCAAGCTGTGATATTACCTCAGATTAGCCCATGATCACTTTCCTTCCACATTTTTTCAAATTAATATTCACCAGTCATCCTATCATTCGATGTTATAGAGCATATGTTAAATGAACAAACAGATAAATAAAATAAATGGAGTGTTATGTCAGAAGGTCTTGGGCTTGAATAGGTTCTTTGCTGCTCAGGATATGGCCAAAAGTGGACTTCATAAATGCAACAATCAATCTTTGGGTTCCATAAATGCAGTGAGTCTCATGACCAGTTTTTTTTTTTTTTGAGTGAGGAAGTAAGATACAAAATCTGAGATCTTGGGTTTTAAATATTGGTTGCAAACATTAAACAAGGTTGTTGGTATAGTAATACCTTCTGCACTGTAAGTAGTACTTTGTGACCAGCTAGATACAGTGAATTTTTTATATACTTTCGCTTCCTCCACCTCTTTGTCAAAGTGAGGCATACCAGGCTGTCAGTGTGGTTTGGATCCCTCATTAGCCCCTGAGCACTAGGATTTAAATTTCCAGATACTTTCCATGGCCAAAGTGTTCTAGATCCATTAATGGCATTGCCTTGACAATACTTTATATCCTGGTCATTTTTTGTTTGACATTTATAAAACAAAAAGCAGATGCAAAGCATCAATCAGCTTTAGAATTATAAATGGCGAGATAAACGTGTAAGATATAACAGGAATCTTTTGTGAAGTGTAATATGGTCTGTGTTGGACACAGCATGTGCGCATGTCAAACCATTACACAGATTTACACATGCACTGATCATAGCTGAGCAGCATTATCAGTCTCAACTACTGCACCCATATTATTTCTGCAGTCAACATTCCATTTTGGTTCCAGAACTGGTTCCCCCCCCCCAAAAAAAAATGCTTTCCATTAGTCACAATTTCATCTGAACGAAGGGTGGAAAGCAGAAAGTAATCTTGCATCCGATCTACCACACCATTTCATGGCCATTTAAATCACTGGTCGCTGGCTGTAGTTCACCAGGTGAAAGTTTCTTTAGAGGAGGCATACTGTTTCTGTTGCCTCACACTGTACCACAGGAACTGGTCTCCAGTTTGTGAAGAAACAGGGATAATGCAGGACTCGAGTACCAGTCATCAGTATAAACACCCCTGTCTTGGTATTCAATTCAATGTTAGTACATTTTACTGCATACACCTGAAATTTTGACACATCCAGTTTTACAGTCACACAGGAGGTAAAGCTATATAACAAACCTATGCCTTTTTTTTTTGTGTTGTCTGAAGTTTAGCCTTTTTCTGAAGACCACTAACTTTCATCAACATGGGGAATTTGAAAAGGAGTGAACAGTCAGAAACTTGAAGAAAGCAGTCTTCTGGGATTTGGCACCGTGTATATGTGGTGTTAACCGACGTTTCGGAAGAACGTATCGCCTCCATCTTCAGGGTAGAAGAAAAAATGTAAGAAATCTGCAAGCAAAGAGACCGTGAGAACTGGTAAAAGCGATACGTTCTTCCAAAATGTCGGTTAACAGCACATATACACGGTGCCAAATCCCAGAAGACTGCTTTCTTCATAGTCACCGCCGTGAAAGCCTCAAATCTTACAAAGTCAGAAACTTCTTAAAAACAACTGAACGCCTTTTGAAGTCAGTCTCCTTCTATTTCTGCTTTATTATTTAAATTACTGAGAAATGTGAGAATTGAAAGAAATCTGTCACTTGCCATAGGTACTGAGAAATTTTTGGAGTTGAGCAGTACATCTTTTGACCAGTATTTTTTTTACAGAATTTTGATTCTTTCTAGCCATTGACATTAACAAAGCAATGAAAGTGTACATTTAATTTCTGCTTGTCCCTTCACCGTTTCAGATTGTAAAGCAAGTCGTCTTTATCATATGTGGAAATCACCTGATGTGTGTACCTGGTGGTCCCTGCAGTAAAAACATCTACAATATGATCAGGAAGCACTGTCATGAAATACTCCACTTCAGACAAGTCTTCAATAAACATACCAGGTTTCACACCTCAGCTTGAGGCATCCAACTCATGAACTCACAGAATGAACACTGAGTCATTGTTCCACCTTAGTTCAGAAAGTAATGTATTTTTGTTGAAAGTTCCCTTCATTTAACCTGACATCTTAAAATTGTGACACCGCCAATTTCATGTGTATCAACTTCTGGTTTTCCATCAGTATCTGGATATGACTCATGTCTGTTCTATGTCACTTCTACCGATTCACAGTTCAGTAGAGTTTCATTTACTCATACATCATCAGCAGTTGGGTTGAAACACAGATTGACTTCTGCTTATAGTGTGAACTTGTACTTGGTTCATTCATCATTATGTATGTACTACCATGATTTTCCTTGGTATTTACAAGAAACATCTGTGACCTTACAAGCAAAAAAAAAGATATTCTCATTATTCCCAATATATGACACAGGCACATAGACATCTTACAAGGCTCTAATGTGTGTATGATCATCTTTTGATGATAAGTTCTTCAAATTCATAGGTTCACAAGACACACGGAAGCTGGCTGCACTGATGTGACAAGTCCTGAAGGGGTTAAGTTAGTGGCCTCTGACAGCCATCATCTTCACCTTTGTTATCATTCTATCAGCAGGGACAAAATGGAAATACCACCCTATTGGTGCTACTGTCTACAAATATGGATTCCTACCTTCATTCTTGTCAGACGGACAGGAACCAAGGTCAAGGACAGTACCTGGGTGCTCAGCAATCCCTGTAACTGGGATCAGTGGTAATGAAATGGTACTCACAGCAACCATGGCTATGGGGAAATTACACCTGAGCTGATAGTCTGCCCAGGGTTGCCCTGCACCACAAGAGTCTTTGTAGATCCCACGGCGATGAACCAAATCAGGGCGAGGTTCGGTGGATGAAGGGGATACAGGTACGTAAAAATTCTTCTCAAAATTTGCAGCAATGCATTCCTCCCATTGCTTGTATGTCCATGTGGTGACAGAACCTGTTATTGGAATTCAATAATGAAAGAAAAAATTGATGTACACATGCACCTGATTATTTCTTACAGTTAATAATCTGCATTTAACTTGTATATTCTGAAGTGACTATAAAACATTCATAGTCATGGTCATAGCAAGAGAGGACACACAGCATCACGAAATGCATGAACACATCATGGGGCTTTGCATCCTGTATTAGAAGACCAAAGCAAGTGCAGCAGTCTCCACACAACAATTTTATAACACCTGATGATGACCATATGATGGTCTTAACATGTAGTGACAATAAGTTTTAAAATAAGTTCAGAAGACACATTATGTGTGTATTATGTAAAAAGTGTTGCATGTAAGATGGAACTGTTTGTTAATCACTTACTGATATGCTACAATATAACATTATTCAAAGTAGTTAGTAGAAGACAAAGAAAATTACCTTACCTATTTCAGACTCTTTGCCTCATTGACATCTACTGTGTACAATTGGCTACATAATGTAGATGTGAAATATGTAAAAATGTAACTCTTTTTTACTCATTGTCATAGAGTGTTTTTTAAGGCTTGTGTACAGATAATGCTCACTTCATGCTGTATCACAGTAACATCACTGGCAAGTTAGTGTATATTACATCTTGTAGGATTTGAAATTCTCACAGCAGTAGTTATGAAGTGTTCTATTGTCTGGAATGTAACTCCATGTAGTTTGCTGAAAAGTCAACCAGAGTTTCAGAGAAACATGTTGACTCCATCTTCATGGATGAAGAATAGAGCAGGGCTACCTGCTTTATGCTAGTTTCTTGCTTGGCTTATTCTCTAACCCCGAGGATGGAGGTGACACGGTCCTCTTAAATGTTGGTTGACTTTCAACAGACTATGCAACATCACACTCTAGAAGGTAGTCCTCTTCATTGTATCTTTTATCACTCAAGCAGTTAATGTCAGTGACAAGAATTTGTAATACAACTTTTAGCTACATACACATCTCCAAAGTTGTCCCTGAATTGCACTCTTTTTTACTGTAAAAGAACTAGGCTGCACTGATAGGTATAAATTTTAAAATTATCATGTATATTATATTATTAAAATTTATATCTACATTTATATTCCTCAGTTATTTCGTATTGTGTCCCCCATTAATCTGCACACTTCTCATCTATCAGCAGTATGCAGACAGAGTACTGGAGTAGCAGAACATGCCTCAGTTATTTCAGTTAATTCTTATGGAAATACCAGACCAGTTTACTATGCATAACGTAATGTTTTTCCAGGAACACAACCTCGATGTTAGCTGATAAAATCCTGTAATGGTAATGTAAAAATTCATGGGTTACCTTCAGGAAAAGAAGGTTTGATTGCCATAACATTCCATCTTTTAACAATAATTATCTTCTCGTCTTGTGGACTCCAGCTGAAAACTGTGGTGACAATATTTTTTATTAATAAGAAGGACTTGTGTTTCTTCATCCTTCTGGTCTACACATAGAGAAGTTATTTTGGAATCCTGACTGAGTTCATTATCAATTTTGTCTTTATATTATTATCTGCTTGTTACATTCATCCATGTGTACAGACTGCTGTTTCTTAGCAGCTTATTGGAACATTTGTTGAATCCATAATAACTAATCAGGAAGTGATCATATATACAAGTAAAGATATCAGTTGTTTTAAATTGTTGATATGATAATGTTTCAGGAAACAAATAACACACCTTCCAAATGCATGTCAGGCATACTACTGGTGAGCTGCTAACATCAGTGAAATGTTAAATCAGAAAACAGCTGTGTACCAAACAATTTGCCCTTCATCACCATGACTGAAAAAGGTATTCTGAGGGCCCATTATATTAGTACACATGGATCTTAATCCCTGGGGCTACATTATGGGTAAAACATTGCTGTTACTACACCCTTTCTGAAAGGGCATATTAAGATAACATGAGTAGCAATGGAGCCAAAGGCAGATCCATGTAATGGTGAATTTGTACAGCATTAGAGATATGCATAAATAAACAATATGTGGAACAGTATTTGTAGATTTATAGTAGGATTAGTATTACGTAATATAAATAAAAGACTGACCCTAGCTATCCTGTCATTAAATATGCTAACAAGTTTTGCGTCAGCTGGGATGCTACTGCAGGTCCACACAGCTTACATCTACATAGCAACACCATTAGCACATATTGCTGTTCAACCAACTTTAGTATCTTAGTATAAATGTGTTTGTCTTTTTAGAACTATAAAAATTCACAGTGTATATTTTCCTTGAAATCCTGATTTCAAACTGTCTGCTGAGAACTGTAATGTATAAGAATGAACAGTGTGATTAGTACAGTGTGACCAAGTGTGGTGCTGGTGGCCGTGCCATAGCTCAAGCGGTTAGTTGCTAGCTTCCCACCGCAGAGGCCCGGGTTCAAAATAGGGTATGGTCAAGTGGGATTTGTGGTGGACAAATTGGCGCTGGGGTAGGTTTTCTCTGAGTACTTCGGTTTCCCCTGCCAATCTTCATTTCACCAAATTCTCCATCATCATAATCACCCGGGGCAGGTACAATAGGCCAATCAGTGGCCACCATGCTGAGTGGACCCAACTAGACTCCACCCCCCACTAAGTAAATTAAAAAAAAAAGTGTGGTGCTGAAATGGTAGTATCAGTATAACTGCTGAAGAGTTCTCACATTGTGGACAATGATAATTGAATTTTAATTGCATATCTATGTAATATTTTCACAATGAGATATCACAGAATATCAAGTATCATGGGTAATGGAAGGCCTAAGATAACTGAGGGGGTCATTCCATGTATATAGTTTCACAGTAGGCATGAAATAGTTAGTGTTCTTGTGTCTGACATTCAATGGTATCCCCCAGTTTCACTCTGGTGCTGTTTACATACATGTAAATTCAGAATTCAGTAAACAGTGAGAACACAGTCTTGCCTCAGGGCTGTGGTTAAACAGTTACAAATTTCTTCCTTATGAGGTTAAATATGTGCTATCTTTCAAATTGCATATGAAATGGAGAAGTCTTACCATCTTTGTTTTGTCTTTTGACACTACCATGTGGGAATCTATCCTCTGAGTGGAGCTTTGCCAACCATTTTAGGGCTCCTTTACTGAGTCCTACCAGTTCCACTGCGCTACCATCCCTCGGCGTGGCAGGCTTCCCTCGGTTACCAGCTTTTTCACTTGACCCCATCTTGTCCATCCACGTCCCACAGTTCCACACATTCCCACCAAATACAAAACCTTGTAAAAGCATAAAAGTTAGCATAAAATTTAGGGAAAGAACATGATACATTACAAATTTTTACAAAGAAATTGATGCCATATGTAAACTGTACAACATTTACTCTACCATGGGGTTCATGTACATTCAATAACACAGTCACATTCTTAGACCAAAAATTAACAATACAAGCAAGCAATTCAAGTCACAGGTTATCCATAAATAAATCAAATTCGAGAACTGCAAGAAATGGGAAATGCTTGCAGTTGACACCTGCACACCAAGCAAGCTGGCTGAAGTGGTAATACTTTTAATTTTATTCAGGAAGTACCCAGTTCAAATTTTGGTTGGAACACCAACTATCCTGATGGAGATCTTTTATGGTTTTCCTCAGTCCCTCCACCCAAAGACCAGAATGATGCCTTAAAGTAGGCCACACTTACTTCCTCCAATATAGTTTCCAGTTCATTATCCGCAACCATTCATAGCCTGATTTGCTGACAGTATCACTGAACAAGCTACAAACAGATATGGCCTTCACACTGTAGTATATAAGGTAATGATGAATAAGCTATACTGGCAAAAGAAGAGTGCTATATCAGCTAATGCTTTATAAAAGAAATTACTATTCAAGTTTGTGAAATACTTATTAAAATTAAAATACCAGTTACATTTCATAATGGAACTAGCTACAAAAGCACGTGTGACAGTACCTTATTTCAAGAAATCTTTCAAAGAAAACTTAAATGTTTTACTGGATATCATGGTCTTATCAAACATCTACTATGATTACTCCAGTGATAAGACATCGTGCTTCAGGAGGAGACTTAAACCCACCCTCTAATCTCTGTTACAAAGCACAACAATTTTGCAAATGAAAAATTCTTTTTCTGTGTTCATGTTTGGCAAAGCAGCTGCATCTGATTAGAAAAAGGAACTGTGCAATGGCTAATCTTCAAAGAACATCGGGATTTATTTTAATTCAGATTATATATTTTTTCCATCTTGATCCTTGGAAGTGTATGAGGTTATATATATATATGCTACTTGTTGCATACTCACCAGTTTCAGGATGGACTCCAATCTGATTGTTGAAACCTTTATCAGTCATGTGAGCATCAATTTTCTGGCCAGCATTCCGTTCACGGAAACACAGACCTTGGAAATGGACAGTCAAGGCTTCTTGGATAACATCATACAATGGCTGGTCCTGAAATAGTAGTTTCGTTGCTTTCTTCAAGGAATATGTAATAAATGACAACATAATTTTGACAGCTAAATCTATGCAAAAGAATCATTCTTGAGAAGCAGACAGTCACTCAGCTGGCCACAAAACTCTCCGCTATTTATGTTTACAGATGTCTGCCACTGGACCTTATCCTGACCCAGTTGAAGTCAACTGTCATTTTGGGAATAAAGTTAAGTTGCTTGTTGGCTTATTAAACACACCGTTGAGACCTATAAGGGAAATGGAGATAAGGCTTCAAACATCAGTTATCAGTTTCACACACCAGCCAAGGACCTAGCCTCAGAACCATTCTGAATGTGGTGATGAAAAGAAAAATCTTGTCTATGATTTGAAATCTGGCTGTCCAGTTCAAGTCTGTAATCAGTCACCTTAACTGACTGAGCTACCACAGTTCATAATCGAGGTAATACATAAATAAAAATCATGTTTGGATGATTTAGAGATATAAGAAAGTAAAGTTAAACAAACACATAAAGTAAATGATCTATTTGGTTGTGGGTAGAAAACAACCTAATCAATCTCAGTATGAAGTACCAAGGGCTTTTGTAATCATGATACCTGCACAATATTAGGTCCACTTGGCCTGTTTAGACATTAAAATCATCTGCTTCTTTTGACTTCATGGTTTATCCCTTTTGGCAGAGAGATCACAAAAACCTCATTCTTTCAACATGATTTTCCCCCATTTCTCTTACAGTATTATATAAAATCCACTGAGGAAATATGTACTTATTTTCTTTCTAGATAAAAACGGTATCATTTGGTATCTGTGTCATGAAATGCATTTCAAGCAATGTTAATCATTATTATTATTATTTTATAATTTATAATTATTATCATTATTATGATTATCATTATTAACAGAATATTAAAATTACCGTACCACTTCACCTGGAGGAAGGGGTGGTGAGTCGTCTGTGGGAAAGATGCGAGATACTCTGTCTGAGAGGATGGATTCGCCATTGGGAACCTCTTGAACATAACTCTGTATACAGTACAACCACCACCATACAGCATCACGGCAGTTGAATCGGGAATTACGTCCACCATCCAGCAAGTTAGGGATCAGCCCATGCCGCAGGCATGCTGCATAACCTAGGATGTGATATCTGAAAATTACATAATATGAATTCCACATAATTATGGGAAATGTGGGTCTTATTGAGTTGGCCACATAATCTTGCATAAGCTAAATATACAGAGTGGCCCCAAAAAAGGTACCTATACTGTTCTGCCACCATTTTCTTTGATTTTCCTGCCATTTGATAGGGCTGCTCTGGCATTTATGTGATTAGCACCACATTTTGTGAGATCATACCACACATAGTACATTATATTTTGGTTCAACTCTGTCATTACGTCAGTAGATAACTTTTACTAAGTGTGTATACATTTTTTGGGGGCATCTTTGTATTGCTATTTAACTCACTACTTCATTTTTTATACTTTCATAGCAGGATTCCTCTTTGTTCTAAAAAGTTAACCTTTAACGACCGAAGTGCCCCGATCGTGCCAGTGATGAGTATGATCCAAAGTACCCTATTTTGGCCTGTCGGGCATTTAAACTCTGCTAGTAGAAGGCCATGCACAGTTCTAAATATTTATTTTTAAATGTAATAATTAGCAGACAGACTTGAATAAAACCATAATAGAGGAATTAAAATGATACCTAAGTGAACAACAACAACAAAAAAGGGTATACGTATGAATTATGCCCAAACTCATCCACAAGCCAGTAATTTTACTGCAGATTCTGCAGATTAATGTGTAAAAAATATATAGTAAAATTCGATGTACATACCTTTTTTACTGTTATCTACTTGATGTATATATAGGCTGAAATGAAATTACAGTATTCGATTTCACTGTGAACAGACAGAAAACAGATCACACTCTGTATCTCAGCCATGATGCAACTGTCTGTTCACGACCCTACAAAGGGCAATAATCGCTTGCAGCTATAACGGTCTTATCACTGAAGAAGGGACCCCTTTAGCTTTCTCTTGAATAGCCATTCTTTCATTCTTCTGCCCTTTAGTCAAAAGATTTGAAAATCCGAAGAGTGTAAGCAGTGCTAGCAGAAGACCAAATGATTTTATTGCTTCCATCTGTTTTATGACACCAGGGAATGCTAAAATTTGTCATGTGTTACAAGCAGGACTGATTTTATAATGGAGAACTCTGTGAAGAACTGGGAAAACCATTTTTGCAGTATGCATCAAAATTAAAAGAAAAAATTGAAAATAGAGTATAACTTTTGCATAAAATTTTTCAAATCTTCTGTTATAATATGCGACACTATGTTCTTTCCTGATAAAAGCAAAATTAATACCATCCATTTATCATAAAAACTGAGTTAGAAACAGCATTTTTAAACACAATGCTTAAAATTGTTTAAGCGCCATAACAGGAACGGACATTTAAATGCAGAGTAGCAACAGGCATTTAAACGCGCACAAGCAGCAGGCATTTAAACAAACTCTGGTCAGACCAAGCTTACCACCATTTCAGAAGTCCGGTGGTTAAAGGTTAATGTAGGTTCATTCGTTCACAAGAATACAGAAAAGTGCACTGAAACATGCATTCAATGTTTCCTGATTAAAGTTTTTCCTCCTTCAGCCTTCAATTTTATGATTCCCGTTATTTCATTCATGATTCTCCACTTTCCTATCGAAATCCACTGTCACCCAAAACAAACCTTAACTACATTATAATCCCCTTCCATAATGCAACCAGCCCATCCCAACCTATCTAACCAAGTAAAGCAGTTAAACACAAAAACAAAACTAGTTTGCATGGATGAATATTTGCCGAGAATGTTACATGAACAGCCCAAAGTGTTAGTTTCAGACAAGGGACCATTTTGATCAGATAATATTGTAATGTGTTTTGCCACTGAAGATGCCATTAGGATTGTTAATTGGTGTATTTAACAACTTACAAGTCGTAGCTACAATTAATTACGACACTGTTATGGGTTTACACACTTTACAAACCCTACATAATAATCTCTTCACTCTATCTTCAGTGGACTTCACGTATTTATAACGCAGGAGCTAAACAAGTGTCACTGAATTATACACTCCCAATACCTTCTCAGTTATCACTAATTATCACTGATTATCACACATAAACGCTTCTGATCACGCGTTCAGTTCTTCTTCTTCCATGGCTGCTATAATTCGACTGAACTTATAATGTCTTCTTCATGTTCACAATTCACTCGCTACAACTGAACTCTGTGACTGCTAGACTTCAACTGGCTTCGGTGACTGCTACAATTCATCTCCTTCCTTATGCATTCCAGTCTCCCTTATAAACCCTCAGTCGGACAGTGGAAAACCCACCTCGCTTCACTCTTCCGTAAACATCGTGTTTACAGGTGTTGCTGGGCAATGCTGCCGAGAGTTGTTTATTACTGCGTAGCAACCAGCGCACTTTGGCTCTGCTAGGCATGGCACGGAGAAACACTATTTTCCTTACTGTTGCATAACCTCACTTCCACTGTTGCGCAACCCGGCAACTGACTATTTATCCAGAGTCTGTCTTTGTGGTAACTTGTTCCACCTCCCGTTGCCCAGCAACGGTTTGACATGTCTCACTGCTCCCTTCTTAAGGCTGTTCATCCCAAATAGCCTAACAGTGCATCACCGGTCCTTTCCTTCCAAGGCTATGCTTGCAACATTTTCTTTTTGTCTGGCTCGCAGTTTCTCTTCTTCCCATTGACAGCAGGGACTATGGGATATGGAGCCGAGGCGGTGGGAGTGGTGCTGCTAGAAACCAGTGTATCTGGGAGGTTTTGTGACCGGCCAATTTGATCAAGGTTTTCCGTGGTTTTCCTTGGTCCCAGAGCAAATGCTGAGTTGGTACCCAAATTCCACGTTGCACTGCATGCTTCACATGCAGCCCCCCCCCCCAATAGTAACATCATGAAACTTATTATACTATAACTACACAAGAATGACATGTCTTATATCATGTATAATGATCCATGGACACGAAATAAATGAAATGAAATGAAATGAAATGTTTTCCAACTGCTACAACCCAGCAACAGTTTGATATGTCACAATATGATTGCATTTGCTTGTGTTTTAGACTTTATTTTAACTTTTAACTTTCAGAAATATATGTAAGATATGAGGCTTTCACGGCGGTGACTATGAAGAAAGCAGTCTTCTGGGATTTGGCACCGTGTATAAGTGGTGTTAACCGACGTTTCGGAGGAACGTATCGTCTCCATCTTCAGGGTAGAAGAAAATATAAGAATTCTGCAAGCGAAGAGACCGTGAGAACCAGTGAAAGCAGACTGCTGCTTTTACCGGTTCTCACGGTCTCTTCGCTTGCAGAATTCTTATGTTTTCTTCTACCCTGAAGATGGATGCGATACGTTCCTCCGAAACGTCGGTTAACACCACTTATACATGGTGCCAAATCCCAGAAGACTGCTTTTTTCAGAAATAAACTTGAAGTGCAGAATGCTCTACCACTCAGAAAGATTTCAAACACCGTATTCCCTTAAAAGCAATACATTCAGCAACAATGGTCATTTTGGCGGAATGTCAGTAAACTTCTACCAGGCTGCATGGTGTCATATCTAAGAAAATAGTTCTTCATACAGAGATTTGCATCCCTCTCATTTGCTGGTAAGCTCACCACTGATCCTCATGTAGTAATCATATTTTTCTTATTATGATAAAATGCAAACTGAAGCTCAAATTTCTTTTCAGTCATCTCTGCTATATGACTCTGACCAGAGACAAGTACCTCCTACACTTGTCTCATATTGTTTTCATTCTGTGATGTAACAGGCTGTCTGCAGCATCAGTTGACTTCACACCCATCCTTAAACATCTGACACAATTCCCAACGTGGGACTGGAACATCATCTCATTGCCATGCATTGTCTGAAGCGCCTACAGCATTTCTCGAGCTGACTTTCCCAGTATATGGTAAAGTTTCATGTCAGATTTCTCTTCCAGGTAATAAATCTGTTTCTTCACTTCAGAATGTTTCATGCAATTTGCTCTCCCCTGAGACCTATACAATTGGACAATTCCACTAACTGTGTGGGCAGGATTATATGTCATAATATGCATATGTTGGCTCAAGCCTATCAGCCACAGTGTTGCTGTGTTTGTTTCTTATCTGGTGCTTTTTATAAGCTTCCATGCTTTATCATTTCTATGTCAAATTTAAAAATAGGAAGATATAATGGAAACATGAATTTACCTAGCTTCCTGGTATCTTCCAGTGAGGATGAAGAGGCCTCTTAATGCTATAAATGTGTCCCGGCCCCAGTTGCGCATATAACCTGTAGTGAAGTGTGGTAATCCTGGAACAAAACATATTACTGTTTGTATTTGAACAAAACATATGCAGCAAGACTTCACTAATTTAGACTAATTTGGAACAAACCTTTGACCGAATTGTGGAAGTGATACTGAAAATATGTTCAAGGAAGTTATAAATTGGACTTCACTTGCTCTTTTTGGCAATACAACCTTATTTTGAAACTCAGGTTGAATATCATAAAATAAATTTGTCATAAAATGTAAAACTGTAAGTTTTGACATCAATCTTAAAAACATTTTAGGTAGACAACATATTATTGAGACCATGTCTATAAAATGAACTTATTTTAGTTTGTATTCCTCTTTCATACTGCCAATTTACTTGCTGATAGTGAAATGTGATCATCAAGGTCATGATGTGAAGAAAAAAAAACAGTTGTCTGAATTATTGCAAATTCCATATTAGTGAAGTCCAAATTAGTGAGGTTTCACTGTATTTGTTTTATATCTTTTGTCATAAATGAAAGACTTTGTAAAAATAAGAGGTATAACCTTTACCATCTGTGCATTGCACAACTATGCTGGCTCAGCAGGTACCAGCAGGCCTAGCATTATACTGTTTACAACACGAATCACATTACCAACAAATTTAAGTCTGTAGTAGTGCGAAATTTGTTATAGAAAGGAGTGGTGTCCAGCCAGAGGCTCAGAATCATACAAATGGCTGATTCTTGATCAAACTTTCTCCCAAACAGTCAATAAAATCTATTTAATTAAATTATTATTGCCATAGTAAAAGATTTTCTTTCAACTTTTGACAGTTATTCATTTGAGAAATTCTATTTTCTATGGAACCTAGAGGTTCATCAATGTGTTCATAAAAGTCTGTTGCTGGACAGTACACTGAACATCTGTCCAAGGTCCAAGGCTTTGCATCTACATGATATATCCAAATTGATCTCTTCTGTTGACATTTTCTAGTCAAAATGTACACATATATGATTTCCTCCATGCATGCTGCATCTGTTCACTGTAAATTTAATCACAGTAATGAAACTTGCTATATGAATGAAAATTCTATTGTGAATTCAATACATATGACTGAATTCTAGATGGGTCAGTTGCTTGAGATTTGAGAGACACCATTTCATTCATGTAAGGAAGCATGGTCACATAGGTATGTATATATCTGTATTACAGGTTAATCAAACTTGCTCCATTGTAATTTCCTGAAAATTCAGAACATTTCAAGGAGAATGACATTTGATTTAAATTAATAACATATTGTTATTTTATTTAAATTAACTAAAATACAGTTATATTTTTAAAATGAGAAGAATGTTCTTACCTGCAGATAAAGTAACACAGGTTTGCTCTATCTCACCCTTGTCATTGACTTTTGTCGGAGGACATGGTGGAGATAAAAAGGGAGACAGAACTGGAAGAGGAGCTGATTGTGCTACAGCTCCACACTGAACTGAACCCAGAGCCAAACCTCGTAGAAAGCTAGAGCCACCTTTCACAAAACTGTAATGTAAGTACAGAGGTCAGTTAGAATAAACGTACTACCTAAGCTGGTCACAAAGGCCTCAAATTGTACATTTATTTGGGATTACTGACATTGATAGTAAGGATAAAATCCTATTTATGAACATGCTACAAACAGTAATTTATGTCATGTACATCAGCAAAAGCTGCTATTGTATTATATGGACATGGACACAAAGGAATTAATGAAATAATGTACATTTTTCAATCATACTTATGACGAAAATTATGGATATAGTCATCCTGCAGATCACTTTAAGTCATATCTCAGCAGAATGGTAAAGTAAAATTTAAGAGTTTGCAAAGAAGATTTTACAATAACTAGGTGCAGCATGAGAAAGGTGTATGCAGTACTGCATACATGTTTGAATTTCTAAATTTGAAATAAACATAAGCTGTTAAAATGGGAAAAATTATATTACAGATAAATAAATTAGAACACTTATTAGGACCACTGAAATAAACACACAAAATGGAATTACATATTTTATCCATAATGTACACTTAATTAAAATAAAATAGGAATAACAGTTTCCCGAAGAAACAGACTGAATGATGAAGAGTTCGATCTTCTGGGTTATAATGCCATGTAGACTGTCAAGATACCCCCAGAGACAGAACTCTTCATAACTACCTCCATAAGAAACTCAAATCAAACATAATGGTATGGTGTTACATCTCTCTTTATGAATATTAATAAAATCTACTAGCCGAGAGCCAAACAAACTAGTGAAGAGCTTTACAGTATATTTGTGTAAACCTATAGAGCTGTAATACAGATTATATGATGAAATCTAACATTGCTTAAGTATACCTGTATAAGGTAATGTCCAAATATATGCAGCTTATGCTGGTTTTTAGCATTAGAAAAAGGATAAGAAATGCTGTTGCTAACAACTATTTACATTTCAGTTATGGTAAGTTTGTCTGATGTAATACATACTCTGACATCAGTCTCCAAACTTGATCCAGCAAGATGAGATAGGTTCCAGTTATCACTACATCAAAGTAGCTTGGTATGAGATATCGTGGAATTTCCTTCAAAGGTTTCAAGTTTTTTTCTAACCAAATCCCTATCTCTAATGTCCCAGGATCCTGTTTCAAGCGTTGTGATATATAATCTATAAAATAAGAATATCAAATTATAATGAAACAAATTCAACTTAAATTGTATTTTAATTTGTGAATAGTTCCTTCAAAGAGAGAAGGGGCAAGAAAGAGATATATATACCATATTTATTCATATAATTATATCCACTGTATGATTATCCCACAAATTTAAGGAGAAGAAATAAGAAATTATCTTTTGCACCATATGTAGTTACTTCTCCTTTACCATGACATAATGGTTATAATTATTTGTGTTATAGTCTCCCTTCTTCCACTCCTTTTCTCCAAGGACTGATTGCTAACTCCAATTCCATGATGAGACAAGCCATTACCTTAATTTACAACTTTACACTGTAGCTTACTTCATCTCCCTTCTCATTCCAACAGATTAGTTGTCTGTGTAAGTAGTGAAACAAGTAGCTAAGAAATTCAACTTGTATTTTGAAATAATTTGTTTAAATTGTTCAAGAACCATTCTCATTCATGTTGTGGTCTTCTAGGTTGCCACTTGAGTTTCTGTCTGGTAGGTGGGTGCCAGAAAAAACATACACTGCCTCCATATTAAGGAACTTCTACCTGAAGATGAAGGATGTATGTTCCTCCAAAAAGGTTGGCACCCACCTACCAGACTACATGATATCATAACCAGAAAATCACAACATACCATGTCTATTTGATTATGTGCACAGTGTCCAGAATGGCTCTGGAGCTCACTCAGCTTCTTATCATCCAATGGGTACTGGGGGCTCTTTCCCCTAGGGTAAAGAGGCTGGGCTGTGATACTCACTACTCACCTCCATCTAGTGCTGAGGTTAAGAATGGTGGTGCTACACCTCCATTCCCTCATATAAGACTTCATGGCATGGTACTTGATTAATTAAGCACAAAAAAAAATTATTTATGTCTCAAAAATATCATAGCACACTGCACTGTACAGGAGCATTAATTAAGCACAAAAAAAATTATTTATGTCTCAAAAATATCATAGCACACTGCACTGCACAGGAGCAGTGTTAAATTGTATTACAGCAATAATATTTAATTAAGGGCAAAGGGATTACAAGAAATGAATAGGATCATGACTAAATAATTTCCTGTTGTGAGGCGTTCATATTCTCTTATTATACACATACTGATGTGGCCAGAAGCCAAGTAGTAAGGTATATGAGCATAACTACATTTTTCAGATTCATAGCTTATCACAATGTCAATTAGCAATTGCGAATGAAGAGTGAAGATGTAGTGATAACTTATTTTAGGATATTATCCCAGCATTTTCCTGGATAGACTAACAAAAACCATAAAAAAGAAAGTATCAGTCAAGATAGGTCATTTGGAGTGATACTTAAATCTAGGGTCTCATGAATAGAAAGGTATTAATAATACACTTGCAAGAATGACAGTTTCAGTTAATGATAAGAATTTGGAAAATTTCAAGAGTCAAGATGAGAAAGAAAAAATTCTTTCTAGTAGAGCGATTTCTTCACTGAAATCACGCTTTATAACACTAACCAAATTTCACAGTGCACTAAAGTGTAATACTGTATTTAGACGAATGGAAGATAATTCCAAATGTAGCAGACTCCTCATCTGGAAATATGCCTGCACAGAAAACTCGTTATTGAGAACGTTTCCTTCTGTTCATCAATCTCATCGTTTGTCTCTGATGCAGTGTCTTCTCAATTCTCATCTTCTGTCTTGCATTCACTGCTCACTGCCAACAGTCCAACTTCCTCCTCATCTTCCATTCTACCCATTTCATCAGACATACAGCACTTTTTAAATCCACTATCACTTCTGGAGAGATCTCCTGCCATGGTTTTGATCCACTGGCATGAAAGTCCTATACTGGGCTTCTTTATTGTACCAGTATTGCAAGAACAATGGTCCTCCCCCAACAGCCATTTAGAATACAATTATTTTAAATGATCCTTAGAGGGGCCATTCACTAGGACAATAGTTGTCAGGTCATACCCCCAGATATGATGATGAGGTCAGTATTCACCACATGAAACACAGTGTTAAATTTTTTTAAATTCCTCCAGCACAAGCATTATGTGTTTCCTCAACAACACTTCTGGTCTCCTGTGTCAAACAACTTGCAAGCAGTATGCAGTATGCACATCCAAAGACAGGATTTCCATACATTCACAACATCCAAGTTGTAATATTTCAAGTCATTAATATGGTTAAATATAAACTCACCAATCATCCAGTTTCCTTGTCTCAAGTTATTGCACATGGGATGTCCTAGGTCATTCTTTGGACGGATATTGCTCAGCAGAGATAGGAATCCTAGAAAATGACAGCGGCGTGACTAATTACCAAAATGTACTGTTATGTTAAGGTTCAGTCAGTAGAGTTGTGAAAAAGACTACAATGGTGGAACTTCAGAAGGTTGCAGGAAAAGGTTACCAGGATTGCTTGCATCAGTGGTAAGCCCACTGGAAGAATTGTGTGACAATGGAAAGGAGCTACTTCAAATGAACTCTGCTATAAAAGCTTCCATGCTGACAGGTAAACTCACATGAGAAAGACTAGTACATACAAGTGAAATGAATTAATGAAACATATAATGGGAAGATCATGTTCACCTGTCTGTCCACATGCATGTCTTGCTCCGAAATTACACGATGCATTTAAAATTTTGAGTACTGGGAGATCTATTCTAGACTTATCATATGTTTATTATATTTGGATGTACAGGGTTCATATAGCCCATACTTTATGTAAAACGCAAATCAACTTTTATATAAATAAGAGCAAGAGGAAGACAGAGTGAGAGTGAGCTCACTACACAGAAGATTGATAAATTAAACAAGCATACACGTCATTAAGCTCTATAACTTTCTTTAAACATGTTTACAACACCATGTGTACTTAAGAATATACTACCAGTCAATAATTTCGTGGACTGGCAACAAAGCGTCGTTGCAGTGCACTAGAGTGGATAGGTTGAGGCACGATATGATACCCTGTTAGTTCATCTCTTGTCTCAGCAAAAGGCAGTTGTGTGCAAACAATGTAAGCAGAACTATGACCTCTGTTGTGTACTGCAGTTAAATGCAAGTGGCAGAAATAAAAAATGTGGCAGTCTGAACAATGGACAAACATCAAGTTCTGCCAGAAACTAGGCAAATCCCCTAGCGAAACATTTGGCATAGGAAGAAATGGCTGTTGCTACATGACAATGCCCCTGCACATTGCTCTCTTCTTGTCCAAGAGGAACTGGCAAGGCAACAGGTCACCATTTTGCCACACCCTCTGTACTCAAGTGATCTCGCACCGTGCGATTTCTTTCTCTTTCACTGCTTGAAAGCAAAGCTATGTGGTCGTAGATTTCAGTTGTCCGAGGAGGTCGTCAATGCCACAAGAGACACTGTATGGGAATTTCCCGCCAATATGTTTCAGCAGTGTTTTCAGCAACTATATCAATGTTGGTAGACTTGCATAGCGACCAATGGCAACTACTCTGAGGGTTGATGTGGATCTGTGTAAGTGTATGTGAATACCTTGTAATATGATGCGATAAAACCACAGTCCACGAAATTAATGACTGCACCATGTATAAAGAAAATAATTTACAGGTGTATGCAGTGTAATATCTGTATTCTTAAACATCTTTGTTAAAATATAGTCTATGGCTATGAAACAAATATACAGTATCTGCTGTTCATTAGCTGTATCCACAACAACAGATTCATATCTACAGTAAATGAACATTAAGACTGATAAGGAGTGCAAAATTGGAAAGAAAACATTTGTGCATGACACTAACTACCAATGAACACTCTGATGATAACTTGGAGGTTCAACACCACTAATACCAAAGGCCATTACTGCATACAATCCTAAGCCAGTTCTTTCCATCACTTACACTAATAACTTCTGTTGAAGATTCATCTTTGTGTTATCCTTCTCAGCAAAAGTGACTAATTTTTGGGAGCTTTGCTCTAAAAATTCTGCATTAATTTTTTTTTTATTTTCCCATCTGTGCTACATATCCATACCCTTGATTTGTTTAAGGGACACAAATCACTAGCATGCCAAAGTACATTATATACTGAGTAACAATTTTGTACACTCACAGGATTCTGAGAGTACTTACCTTGAATACCACAGTAAACCACTGGGCCAAAATCTGGTATATCATATGCACCATTGGCTCCCTTTGTCTCATCACGCTCTTCCTCTTCACATCGAAATAAGGCTCGATTCAGGTCAGCAAGAGTCAGTTGAGACACAACTTCCTCTAGTTCAGAGTTACTTGGTACTTTCTTTGTTGTGAAATCAGTCACATGCTTATGTAGTTCACTCAATGCTGAGGTGGCATTACCATGCAGAGAAATCCTGTAGAAGTACAACACATTTAACAGCTTTATTAATATAAGTTCATTATTGTTTAACATAATTTAGTGTATATAGCTGCTGCTATACGACAGCTGCAAGACAGGTGAATAAACACATCTGGGCAACAGATCGGTAAACACAATCCTGCTGCAATTAATACACATGCAACAACACAAGAAAGGTGTTTTCTGTGTGTTCAGTACCAGGAGGTTATAATCAGGATGGTTGGAGAAAGGAGTCAGTTGAGTTCTGCAAGGGAGGCTGGGAAGGGATGGTGCTATAATTAAGTGGAGTTTGGTTGCGGGATATTAGCTGGGTAGTAATGACATGAGCACAGCAGCTGAAGAATCTCCATTGTTGAGAGCTGTTACCAAGCAATGACTAGTGAAGGCACTGCATGCTGAAGAAGACTTAGCATGTAGTGGTTTGCAAAGTGTGGAAATTAGCAAAAGTTATAGTTATTTGTAGTTACGACCTGTAATTGGTCAATATATCTATTCACCAACCCATACTCCATCTAGTCACAGATAACAAACATGACAATTGGTGTCAGAAGTGGTTGGAGTGGAAACTGCACTGGATCATTATACTGCAATCCTATGGAGATGGAACAAATGATGTCATGAACGCTGGCAGAAATAAGAAATGACAGAGAGATAATGACAGCAAGGCTGGAAGCCACGATAAAGAACAAACAAGAATGGATGGATACCAGCCAAGCAAAAACGAATGCCAATCTAAGGGAATTAAGAGCAGGTCACCAACACCTGAAAGAAGAAATGAGAGCCAACCAAGTACTCCTGAAAGAAAAATTGCTAATCATAATGGAAACCAACCAAGAAATGATAGATGCCAGGATAGATGCTAATCAAGAAAAGATAAAAGACAGGATAGACACCAATAACGAGAAGTTTGAGGTCTGAAGTACTCTTGTCTATCAGATGGATGTACATGAAGCCATGACTGTGTGCACTCAAGAAGAAATTAAAGCCAAGATGGATACACATCAAGAGAAGATGGAGGTTGCAATACACTCCATCTGGTCTGAGTTAGAGAAGACCATCAAACGAATATTACATGCTTAGGAACAAACTCCAGAAAACTTATAGACAGCAGAAGGCAGGAGTTCCTACATAGTCCAAAAACTGAGCATCAAGGCAGGCATTAGATTGTAAACATTTAAGAATTTTAAGAATGTTAACAGCCAATAATAGCTCCACAAGGTGAATTGAGACTATTCAGCTATGGGTTGACAAACCAGGGTTCATTTCCCAGGAAGGACAGGCATTCTGCTCTTTGTCATCAAGGCCAGACAGGCTTTGGGGCCCACACAATGGATATGGAAGGCCATTTTCCCAAGGGTGAAATGGCTGGGGCATGAAGCTGTACACTCACCTCCATCTAGTGCCAAGTTTAAGAACATGTTGATCTATACATCCAGTCACCTATGTGTCTTCATGGCATAGTGCTTAATTAAGTATAAGCACAATTTCACACATTACTAATTCAGATAATTATGTATAAACCTCCACTGTATAGAAAACCTGCCTTGTGTTCTTAGTGTGCACATACTGTTTCCATCCATATATACTCACCTAATGGCTACCACAGATCCCGGCTGGAAGTTGGTGAAGTTAAGCTGTGTGATGTTTAAGTCTCCAGACTCTCCACATCCCAAGAAGTTTGACTCAGACACTTGAAGGTGTTCTCTAATTTCTACCTCATAATCTGTCAGTCCATTAATAAAATTAGGATTCTTTGAAAATGCTTCAAATCTTGCAAATCGTGGACTTCCAGTTCTGTACCTAACAGAGTAAGAACAAAATTGTACGAGTACTTAATGTCAAGTTCTGGAGACCAACTCACACACAAACACACACACACACAAAAAAACAGAAGAGTAATGAATATATATTATATTGAAAAAATTTTATAAACAGAGGTTATAGATCTTAATGAGATCTGAATTTTCGGCCCTGTAGCAGTTTCTTGAACAGTTAGTCATATTTAAGAAATTTGATGTTCAATTTAGGTTTCAGCTACTCCAAATTTAACTGAAATCTGCTGAGCGGTTCTGTAGGTGGTTTGTGGGGGGCATTAAAAATGTTATAAGCATACTGTATACTTAAAATCTGTTAGCTAGAGGGACCATACAGACATTTATTATTTTCATTATACCTTTCATATCTTGCAGTTTTCAGACACTTGGAGTTTCTGTACTAATTCATCTTCCATAGTAGATGAAGTCAGTTACATAATGAGGAACTTAATAACACGTATTCTTCACCTAATTCTGTTACATTCATTAAATTCAGAAGAATAAGTTGGACAGCAATATGTAACACATAACGGAGGAAGAAAGAAATGCATACAGAATTTTGTCTAAAAATTTCAAGGCAAGATGTCTCTTGGGTGTCATAAACATTTAACTTAAACTTACTGTGAATCTTGGAAAAAGGTACGAAATTAATTTAAGTGATTCAGGGTAGGGACTAAGGGTGATCTTTTGTTATTTTGTAAATATGAAGAGAAACATCTGGGTTCCATGAAAGCAGGGAATTTCCTGAATAAGTATTACCTCTTCAAGGAAGACCCTCTGTCATGGAATTAAGATCCTTACTTTGAATTTCGGTGGACAAGAGTAGCTTCCAAAATAACTTCATCCACTCTGCCTTCAACTCTGATGGGCTTGACATGATCTCTTTTATAATATGGGTCAGGATGAGAGAAAGCTGTATAGGCAACCAGCACAACAGACTGGTGTGTCTCTGGACAGTGCCGTGTCACTGCAACGATATCTGCATCCACTTGATCCACATAAACCTGCAGCACAAGTAAGAAATGGTGACAATTTCAAATCTATGTCTGACACAAACAAGAGTAGAAATGTGCCTTCATATTAGCAATACATAGACATTTCAGAACGAATTCTTGTGACCTGGCATCCTCACAGGTGTTAAAGCTTCTTACACATACACAGTTATTGTTGCAAAGCTAATGAATTATATGTATATAAATTACAATGCATAGAGACGGAAGTTACTTATTTTTTATTTATTTAAATTATAAAATATTGTTTCAAATGAAAGTTGCAGTCTTAATGAGATTCATATTTTATGTTATATTCTTTTTTTTTGTGTCATGATTCCCCTCTCAGAAAATCTGCAAAATTTAATTTCAGCTTCATGTGATGTTGGTTTCAGATTACACAAATATAAAAAATTAAACAGCTGTCATGAAATCAATATTAGAGTCAATTTTACCGACCACACAACATATTTTTATTATTATTACACTACATGTTTCGACCTCAAGAGGTCGTCCTCAGGTGTACAAACACAGCTGTATAATTACACGCAATCACAT